ACTGTGTTGACTTCAACCTTAGACCTTCAGTCCCAAACAAGGCATCATGTGTGCCTGGATTTACTCATATATACCAGTTAACGTATTGTACATTTTATATTTAGTCAGGGCATGCTAAAACACTCAATATCAGATTTCTCTGCTATAAGGAATATGTGTTTGGGTCCTGTGGGTGTAGTATACTCATTATTTTGTTGATTTCACAACTGACTCACTTACAATCAAATATGACCGTCAGGGATGGAAACAGTTAACTCTTTCAGTACCAAGCACTACATGCATTTTTTAATTTCTATTTATTTTATATGCATTTCTTATCTCTGTGTGTCCATCCAGTTGTTATATTATCTCATTCTGCACCAGCTGTTAAGTTGACATTTCTGCCTCAAGTTGTTATTATTATTATTATTATTCCATCAGACTCAAACATATGTCTGTTAAAGTACCAACTTCTTATGAAATAAACAGTTAAAGTAATATCTGTCTAGGATTCAGAGTTAATAAGTGAGATGAATTAAAATTACAAATGTAACTACCTAGACAAACAGTGCCAGAGGGGCAGTATGTGTAGGCCATGTGCGTGTGCATGTGTGCGTTTGTTTTGAATGAACCAGTAAGGTATAGTGAGCTAATGTTCCACAAACGTCACTGACATGGTGCAGTTAATTCCCACTTCAGGCTGTATAACATGCCACAAGTAACTACATGCAACACAGGCTCTCAACTAACTTACACCAAGCCTTTTATAGACAAGTCCATGAGTGTTTGGATTTTGCAGCTAAGTTTTCTACAAAAGGCCTTTTAAATTACCGTTTTTTTCCTTCTCTTAAATGGATGGCCCATGGACCTGTGGGAGTCCAATGAACAAATTTAAAGGGTCTGCAATATAATTTTAAAGCCTGTACTGTTTAACGCTATCACTCTGTTACAGATATAGGTTTGTGTAAATTTTCTAATTTTATTTTTCAATTTTTTCAATGGTGTGTGTGTGTGTGTGGGGGGAGGGAGGGGTTAAATATCACTATTAAAAATATGCAGTCTGAGAGCCTGTAGGTTTCAGCTAATTTTGAACTACTGTCCTACAACATAATGGCAGGTTATTGTGTTACTATTCCTTACTTCTGTTACTGACCAAGGTAACACATGCATGACAAACTGGATATACAGAGTTACGACTGAGAAGACTAATGAACAAGAAAAGAAATTACCAAGACTATTGGCTCAACTGGACAAAAATGACCTTGGCTTCCAGGTCAACCAAGCCTTGAATGGGTACTAGGTGAAATCCTGACAAATAAAGGTGGCCACTGTGATGCTGACCACATAACCCACCAGGTTCTGATTGGTCTATAAAATACAGGTCTAGCCCTATAAGTATAATATGCTTGAAGGTGTGAAAAAGGGTCCTTTACTTTTTATTGGCTCAGTGGAGGAAAAGTAGAGTGACAAATAACTTGTACAATTCCAAGAAATGAGAAAGGTCCATGTGTCCAAATGCATATTTTTAAGAGACAGCATATGAAAGGACATGGTTGTTTTGTATTCACCAAAATAAGCAGATGTTGAATGTGATGATTATATTCTACTTGTTGGATTCAGAATAGGACTTATAATTTGATAATTTGTGCAGGCGGTCTGTTTAGGTGCTGCCTATATTATTGTGGTCATTGTTTAATTCACTATACACATATTCACTGTCTGGGTCATGAGAATATGTCATGGCCCCTGCACCAGAAGAACCCTTGTCTTTTCTTTACATTTCATGCTTTTGTAGTCCAGAGGGAAACTACCTATTGTCCTAACCACATTTCTTTTCTTGTCTCCCTCCTTTATTCTTACCTTTTTTTGCTTTCCCACTAGCTCAGTAGCAAACAGTCTATAATTAAACAGTTTTGTGTTAGCGTCTGCAGCTTACATGCTTCGTAATTTCAAAAGATATTTTGAAATCTGTGCTAATGGAAAATGAGCTCTGTCCCTGGCTGGTGAACTGAATGGTTCACACTTGAGTGAACAGTGCAGAGGCACAAATGGATCATTATGGCCTGATGGAGAATTGTGCTGCGAGAAGGAACTAAGGAATAAGGCTGGCGTTCAATACTCAGGAGGAAGGCAAGCTGGATACACATTCAGAAAGTTACTGGTACCATAGGAATTAGAACTCTGTGCTTGCTGCTGAAGATAGGAATGGAGTGCTTTTGGTAATGTCCTGAGCCTTAAAAACATTACATTAAAAACTACCTTATCTTATTTTCTGGATCGGGGGATGCTGGTCGAGAGAGTCCATGTGTAGAAAAGTACCATGGGTAAAATGTTATCTCTAAGCATTTCTGTGTATCAGCATCATGTCTTGGTGTCAGCTCTAGGCTGTGGATTCCTGGGGCTTGAATTGTATCAGTTTCTTTCAGCTCACTTTTGTTATTATGTACTGTTTCATCAACAACTGTGAAGCAAAAAAGGAATTTTAAAAAAGCGGAAAATGTTACTCAGAAAAGCATCCAAAGTAATAAGAAGAGATACATTTTAAAATGAAGAAATTCAAAGATAACTAGGATTGAAACCATTCATACAGTTCATTATAGTTTATTATTATGTGGTTTGGGCCATAGGATGAGAATCTTCTTTCTTCTTCTGCCTTTCTAGCCCCCAATGGAGCATAGGCCCTCCTTCAACTCATGCCAAGTCGTTCTATCCTTAGCTATCGCATGCAGCTCTTCCCCTGTCCTCCTTATCTTTCTAACTTTATTCTCCAGCTCCCTTTTCCATGTGTTTTTGGCCTTTCTTTATTCCTATACCCTTGTGGGTTCCAATGCAAAGACATTCTAGTTATATCGTTTTCCGGTTTTCTCAATGTATGTCCTATCCAACTCCAGCGTTTTTTCTTTACCTCTTGTCCACTGGAGCTTGCTTAGTTCTCTCCCAAAGCTCTACATTAGTGATTCTATCATACCATTTACTTCCCTCTATTCTGCGCAGGCACCAGTTAATGAATGTATGTAGTTTATTAGTAATTGCCTTAGTTGTTTTCCATGTTTCTGCCCCATACAACAGTACTGATTTGACATTAGAATTAAAAATTTCAAGTTTAGTATTTCTTTTAATTTCTTTTGACAAATACAAACTCCCTAGTGCAATGAAAGCTCCTCTTGCATTTTGTATTCTTATTTTAATATCTCTATCAGTTCCTCCACCTTTATCTACATTACTGCGAGTGGGGTGCCATTAAGAGAAACCACATTACTATTTGCCTGATTTATTCTCATTATCTGTGTCTTTCCTTTAAGGATTTTCAGACCAAGCTGCTGTGATCTCGCATCAAGTATATTTTATTTGTCTTGCATCTGATTCTGTGAATGGGACAGTAGAGAAATATTATCAGCAAAGTCCAGATCATCAAGCTGTTTTGTAGGGGTCCACTGAATTCCATTCTTGGTGTTAGCAGTTACTGTGTTCATAATCCAGTCTACAGATAGTTAAAAAAAGGAGAGGCGACAAAAAACATTCCTGTTGCACACCTGTTTTGATTTCAAATCTATCTGTTAGCTTTCCCTCATGAAGAACTCGTCATTTCATGTCTTTAAATGTTGCCTTCACTAAGTTAATAATTTTCTGTGAGATTCCATAGTGCCCCATCAATTTCCAGAGAGGATCAGAATACCCTGCTACTAATTTCCACAGAGAGAAATGCTGAGAAGTTACAATAAACACATAGCAAGGTGATGATCATGCAAAACATTATAATGATGGCAGCAAAAACAGTCTCAAAGAAGGGACCATCAACTTTACTGTATCAGCTACTTTCATGTTGTCTTGATTATATTGTACAGCAGGGCCATTCAACAATGTCAACTCAGGGGCCAAAATGAGGAAAAATTGGGATCATTGCAGGCAAGAGGTCTGAGTCCACAACAAAGAAAGATCATTAATACATTACAATGGACATATGATCCCCAGGCCACTTGACAAGCCTCTGTGATCTAGACTTTGCCTATGGGCCGCCAGTTGAATAGCCTTGTAACTAACTGTTGTAAAATACAATTCTTCTTCTTCTTCTTCTCTTCCACCATTTACCTCACTGAGGTGTTGGGGGGAGATGTAAGGATCATTTATGTTTGAACCCGGAACCTCCAGCACTCAAGGTCCATGCCATACCCAAAACCACTCAGCCCCCCCAATCTTGTCAGATGGCCAAACCATCTCATTTGTTGTTCTTTAATGAATTGTATGACTGGTTTCAGTCCTAGTCTTCTAATTTCTTCATTCTTGATTTTATCTCTTCCTGTTACACCGGCAGCTCTCCTAAGACATCTCATCTCTGTTGTTACCATCTTCCACTCATAAGTTGTAGTAAGGATCTATGTTTGGCACTGAATGAATTCTTCTTAGAAGAATACTAAATCTCCATTGGACAGATTTCAGATGTAATATGCAAATAAGAAAAGAGATCAGCCAAGATAATGTATCCAGTTTTATTAGACAAAATCACTGGAAAAACATCAACCATGCACTCAGAATAGATAAGACCAGACTTCCCCATCAAGCCCTCATATGGACACCAGAAGGGAAAAGAAAACAGGAAAGACCTAGAGAGACATTGTGTAGAACTATCATCAAGAAAGGCTCAACCACGGGCCTACAAATTATCCAAGACCTAAAAGAGGGCAACGAACCTCCAGACATGGAGTGCTATGAACTATGCCCTCTGCTTCACCCTAGGCTCAAGAAGAAAGACTGACTAACTCACTCACTAAACACTGGAAAAAATTATACTTGAAAAGCGTTGTACCATCAGGAACAACGCCCTGCTGGTACCCACTTTTAGGCTGGATAAATGAATGCCAAAAAGTAAATTTTAAAAATCTATATCAAACCAAAAAATTTGTAAGTTCCATTATGCCTGACAAAATTAAAAAATTTAAAAGAGAAATAACACACCTGTAGTGCGGTATGTGTATCCTTTTTAATGTAAAAATCCATGGCAACAACAACTCACCACTGCACACTTTTTGACTGTCAGTAGAGTGACCATTAATTGGAGGGAACAACTGCTGTGATGGTTCAGAAATCCATGAACCAGCCTGGACATCTTCATGGTCATGGTTTGTGTGGTATCTGGATCCACTGAGAGGTATGCTGCTGGCTGTGTTGCTGGTAACAAAGATATTACCAATCAAGAAGTAGTTATGACAACATATGACACTGAAATAAGTTCAGAAAAAATATATTGAAAAAATATATCTAAAGGTGAACAAAAGAAGCTAACAGTATAGCATACTAGTTTACAAAATTAACAATGATAGTACATTATGACAGCATTTACACAAAAGAGTTTACTACCAGAACAGAAAAAGTATCAATAAAAGAAAATCAAAGCAATGTTTTCCCTTGAAAACAATGATAAATCATATTCATCTAGATTTGTGCAGACAAAAAGACTTGGTAGTGAACCTGCAGTTGCCCCAGGTAAAACAGGCAATTACTTTTTTGAGTGTAGATTTTGTATTTCAGTTAGAAGGACTCCTTTAATGGCTTCATTATGCTCAACTGTTACTTAAGTCTGGAGACTCATATCGTGGTGAGATAATGAGTTTTTTTTTTTTTCTGTTGGGGGCAAAAGTAAACTCCTAACCTGCATAGGTCGTGGCAGCAAGACTAGCATTGTGGCCCTACATCCCAAATCAGAAGACTTCCCATCCCTCCGTCTACAATGCAAAAGTGGTAAATAAAAGAAGTAATGGCAGTTAATATAGTATGCATCTGATGAGATACAGAAAAATATGCCAGGCAATAAAGTTTGCAATATGTTGTCTGTATCTTCTGTGTTCCAGAAAGAAAGAAAGAAAGAAAGAAAGAAAGAAAGAAAGAAAGAAAGAAAGAAAGAAAGAAAGAAAGAAAGAAAGAAAGAAAGAAAGAAAGAAAGAAAGAAAGAAAGAAAGAAAAAGAAAGAAAGAAAGAAAGAGAGAAAGAGAAAGAAGAGCTGTTCCAGTGGGGGACTGTTAGCGTTTGCACATTTGGCTGCTGCCTTACACATTTAATTTTTTTAGTTTTTCAATAGTTTTTAAATGAGACGATGAAGGGTAATTTGTGTGATTTGGACCTGCACATAATTGTAGCATTTATGGGGTGACCAGCTTGCCTTGAAGTAAAAATCTCAACTAACTATTAGCTGTTTGACATGTAATATTGCAAATAACTAAATAAAACTGCCCATACAGTCTTCTCGTGCTGTCTAGTGGTGGCAGGCTGCAAGCTGAGGTAGTCTGGCAGTGTGATCCAACTGATTTTCTTGGAGACAGGAAGTAGGTTTCTTCCACTGTGTATGCTGAAAAGAATATATTCTTGAAAAATTAGAGCTTTCCTATGCAAATAACAATGTTTCTCTGTGCTTTAGTTCAGTGAAAACTTTATCTTGTTGTTTATGCATGTATTGATTCAGTGCAAACTATATCTTGATGTTTATGCATTAACTGATTCAGTGCAAACTATATCTTGGTGTTTATGCATTAACTGATTCAGTGCAAACTATATCTTGGTGTTTATGCATGTATTGATTCAGTGCAAATTATATCTTGTTGTTTATGCATGTATTGATTCAGTGCAAATTATATCTTGTTGTTTATGCATGTATTGATCAGTGCAAATTATATCTTGGTGTTTATGCATGTATTGATCAGTGCAAATTATATCTTGTTGTTTATGAATGTATTGATTCAGTGCAAATTATATCTTGTTGTTTATGAATGTATTGATCAGTGCAAATTATATCTTGTTGTTTATGAATGTATTGATCAGTGCAAATTATATCTTGTTGTTTATGAATGTATTGATTCAGTGCAAACTATATCTTGTTTTTTATACATGTATTGATTCAGTGCAAACTATATTTGAGTGTTTCTCTCTGCCTCAGTTCAGCACAAACCATATCAGCTGTTTCTGTATGTATTAGTTCAGTGCAAACTACATCTGGCTGTTTCTCTATGTACTGGTTCAGTGCAAATTATATCTGCTTTTTCCCTCTGCCTTGGTTTGGTGCAAACTATATCTCGCTCTTATTGCTTTGGTTCAATGCAAAGTTTACCTGACTATGTTTCTCTGTTAAGCCTAACCAAAATAATAAGCCCTAGTTAAGATCACCAGCTAGAATGAGAGACTTGTTAGTGAATGGCCAGTCTGAGTACAGACACCATTGGTGCACACTTGATAATAAATAAGCAAGCTACATGGGCAAGTAACGCCCACTTAAGGAACGTTATATTGCTGGACTTTAGACTTAGGCCAACGGTTCTACAGGACACGAAGTCACAAGAAATTCAGGGTGGAATTCTGAATTAGGAGAGATATGATCATGTTCCAGAAGAAGATGACATGACTGTTTTTTTTTTTTTTTTTTTATGTAGAATTTTTTACATGAATAAATTTAGATTTTTGTATCTGAGAACAAATAAATCCCTAAAAAATAAGCTGTGTTGCATTTTTAAACAAAAAACTAAGGTAAGACCCAGTCTTATTTTCAAGGAAACAAGGTAGTTGAAGAAATAAGTAAAGTAAAAATCCCTTTTAACGCCTTTAGGCGCATCAGGCATATGGGAACAGCACTCATATTTTTACAGACCAATCAGCACTAGGTGGGTAATGTGGTCAGCATTATGCCGGCCGCCTTTACTTCCCAGGATATACATCCTGGTACCCATTTTAGGCTGGGTCGACCTGTGACAAACCATACCATGATAAAAATCCAAGCAGCCAGCAGTGGGTTTTGATCGCAGTACATTGGGTAGTTAAAGAAACAATTTTTTATAACAGAAGGAGTTAATGTAATATCAGCTTGACACTGAAAAGTTCAGAGAAATGAGATGGGTAGGAATGGTTGAAGCAGCAACTATCTCAGACAAAAAAGTTAGAATAATTTTGTAAAATATCTTCACCCAGCTTTGTGGACTCATAGATCTGGGCTGTTGTAAAGTTCCTTGCTCTGGGACTGTAGTTATTGCCGATGGAGTCACTAACCCTTCGTACATATTTCTTTTCCCTGGTTGGTACAGCTTTTGTGAAGGATCCATGTTCAATGATCTTTGGGGCGTCACTGAATGCTGGCTGAAATTTAGGAAATGAAAATATTAGAGCAGTAGCTATAACAGAAATAAGACTAACATAAGACTGAGATGGAATAATGGGAAAAAGAAGAAGAAGAATATAAATATTTATAATATCCACAGGTGTGAATGTGCTTAGCACTGAAAAATTTGCATCATGAGTTGCATCACAAAGATATTCCTAAGAATCATGATGCAAGGGTTTGGAAGACAATACAACCAGACATTAGACAAGAGCAATGTGGCTTCATAGAAGACAACAGTACAACAAATGATGTATATCTCCTGAGGACAATATTAGAGTGTTAAAGTAAATAGAAGTAAAAAAAAGGTCATCTGTGCTATATTGATTACACAAGGGGTTTCGATAGAGTAAGACAAGTTGACAGGGGAAAAAAATGCTCACAAATCTACAAACTGATGGAAAAGACAGACTGAGTAAGAACAATAGGCTTTAGGAATCAATAATGAAATAGGTCTGTGCCAAGCAATCAAGAGAAATATGAGAGAGGGATGTGTAATATCTCCAGATCTTGTTTTCCTGATACAGTGAAAATATTATGTGCCTCATGGAAAACATGAAGGAAATCAAACATGGGAGCACGTAACATCAACAATTTAAGATGTGCAGATGATACAGTGTCAACTGTAACAACGAAAAAGACTTGCAGTGTTCAGAGGATGCACTAATAGTTCATGGCGAGAAGTTAGGTTTTGAGTTAAACTGTGAGAAAACGAAAATTATGGCCATCACCAAAAAAGACAGAAATACCAAAGTGTGAAATATATGCAAACAAAAACTATCTTGGAACTGTCATAACATCTGGTGTAAGATGCTTTGCAGAAATTAGAACAAGAATTGCCATGAAAAACATGGTCTTTTGCAAGATACAAAAGATTCTTACCAATTAGAACATAATCTAAGAGTGTAAAAATACTATGTAGAACTTGTGTTTGTTATACGTATGTGAGACTTGGACATTGAGCAGACAAGATAAGAAACATTAACTTGCATCAGAGATGCATCAGAGAATATTATGGAGAGATGAAAAACAAAAGAAGCAGTTATTACAGACGAAAGTTAGTCATAAACTTATCAGAATAATTAAAGGTATAGTTGTTTTTTTTGTTGTTGGTGGTTTTGTTCTTTCTGACATGACATGAGAAGAAATGTACTTGAGAACTTGGCAACAACTGGCAAGACTGATGGAAAAGGAACAAGAGGAAGACAAAGAGATAAATATCTGAATGGCCTGGCAACATGAATGGAGTGAGACAAAAACAATTACCTGATCTGTGATTCTGGTGATCATGAGATGGTAAAACATGACAGCCTACGCATACCATTACTGCACATGATGATGATGATTATCAAGACAAACAGTGTCAACCATCACATGGATATTTGGACAATAAATTACTAGTTGGTATTTTTTTATTTTTCTTTATTTATTATGTGGCGTAGGGGGCTGCATGTTTTTGTTGTTGTTGAGGGGAGTGGAGTGGGGGTCTTGCAATACACTCAAGGGTGGCCCCATTAAAAAAAGGTTGAAGACCACTGATCTAGACTGTCTAGGCTCCACTGAAAAAGTGGTCATTTAATTACTTATTCCCTCTTGATTTCTATTTAAGCTAGTAATTACCTGTGCAATCAATTAAGATTACCGATGAAAGTAATAGAACAAAATGTTCCTTCTTCTATGGCTAGTTTTTCACAAATATGGTGACCTCTTTTGTTTTCCATCTAGGTCAGCGATTCTCAACCTATGGGTCGCGACCCTTTCACAGGGGTCACCAAAGACCATCACAAAACAAATATTCATTGAAGTCATGAAGTAGCGACATAAATAATTGTATGGCTGGAGGTCCCACAACATGAGGAACAGTATTAAAGGGTCGCCACAACATGAGGAACTGTCTTAAAGGGTTGCCACAACATGAGGAACTGTATTAAAGGGTCGCCACAACATGAGGAACTGTATTAAAGGGTCGTCAAAACATGAGGAACATATTAAAGGGTCGTCACAACATGAGGAACTGTATTAAAGGGTCATCACAACATGAGGAACTTATTAAAGGGTCATCACAACATGAGGAACTGTATTAAAGGGTTGTCACAACATGAGGAACTGTATTAAAGGGTCATTACAACATGAGGAAGTGTATTAAAGGGTCATCACAACATGAGGAACTGCATTAAAGTGTCATCACAACATGATGAACTGCATTAAAGGGTTGTCACAACATGGGAACTGTATTAAAGGGTCGTCACAACATGAGGAACTGTATTAAAGGATTGTCACAACATGAGGAACTGTAATAAAGGGTCATCACAACATGAGGAAGTGTATTAAAGGGTCACCACAACATGAGGAACTGTATTAAAGGGTCGCCACAACATGAGGAACTGCATTAAAGGGTCACCATAACATGAGAAACTGTATTAAAGTGTCAGCACAACACGAGGAACTGTATTAAAGGGTTGTCACAACATGAGGAACTGTATTAAAGGGTGGCGACATTAGGAAGGTTAAAAACCACTAATCTAGATCAAATATATCTCGGGTCCAATAACTTGCAAGCATAAATAACAAATATAGTAAATATATGAATAAATATTTAAAAAAGTAACCACGGAAAGGAGAGGTCTTAGAAGGCTGCAGAAGAGATAAAATAAGAAAAAAAGAACTTTATATCATTTTTGACACCTGAAGGGGTAAAAGTAAAAGTGGAAGTGAAGACGAAGACAACTCTCAAATTTAGAAATAGAAATATATCCGAATTTTAACCCAGATGGCTTGAACCGGATATTGGTAGTAAATTACTACGTCTATTAAATAGAAATAGATCCTTATTATAAGCCAGATGGCTGGAACCGGATATTGGTAGTAAATTACTACGTCTCTTAAATAGAAATAGATCCGAATTATAAACCAAATGGCTTGCACCGGATATTGGCAGTAAATTGCTACGTCTATTACTGTATTTTATGCACCTCCGGCTGTATAATTATATCTAGAGTTGACCGTGATTTTATCAACACTGTAAGACACCTTCTAACAGGTGTTGCAAAGGAAGTTTTTTTTTAGTGCCACACTCTTGTTGACTTGCTAATGATGACTAACTGACTACAGTGTTACGAATTCTGAATCACTTTAAGGACTGAAAATAATTTCAAAAGTTTAACATACATCAGCGCCAAGTTATACGCTACTTTGCCGCCATTCTTCTAATCTCGCAGCTCACAAGCCCACTTATACAACGTACGCTATTGGTTAAAGATATAAAACATATATGTTATAATAGTTCACAGCCACACGAAGAAACATATATTATTATGGGGGAAAATGTAGCAAACGAATCTAGTATAATAGTCAACAATAACACTAGCAATATTTAGAGTGGTCGGTGAAATATAGCCAACTTATATGTTGTGACTACAGTTCACAGTCGCACTAGCAAGATGTAGAATCATCGGAAAATATAGTAAACGCCTCGGTTATGACAGTTTAACGCTGCTATGGCAACCTCTAGAGTCACTAATTAATATAGCAATGTTATCTGTTATAATAGTTAAAATATCATCCGCAGTAAGTGACGTTTAATCCCACCAGAACGGCACAACCGGGCGACACAAAGTGCCACCATTTGGGTGAGAATCCGCCAGTCACAAGTCCCAGAAATCCGTTAGGTTATATTGGGGCTCCCGACAACCGTCAGGATGGGTTTTTAAACAACGACAAATTGCGACTTACATTAGCTGTCAACCATCTGTGCTACAACTAATAACTTGATTAATTCTGGCTAGACGAAGAGAAAACACATGTCACAAATATGAACTATTACTGTCCTGCCAAGCGATGTCAATTAGAGCTTATGCGAATTATATCAGTCACATCCGCCTACAAGCTTGTCAAACTTCCAACTGCCGTTTTCTGATCTACCCACTCCACAAATCAACTCGTGAACTCTCCTCACCCGTAACACCTTTTTACCCCCTCCCCTGTCCGTCTTGTCTACACCCGACCAGGCTGTCCTGTAATCTTCTTGTCTGCTCTTGTGAGTCGAAGTCTATGTGTGGTTTGACTTTATCTCCCGGTATGTCGTAAACTTCTTCTTCTTCACGTTAACCGGCTGTATACTCTGGCGGAAAGTTCTGGTTGTTCGTCCACTTCTGGACTGCAGTCCTGTGTCGTAAACTGATTCATGACAAACATCACGCATCTTCCTAATTTTAGATTTGATGTTTGTCCACAATGTACTTTCGATTGTTTTACTTAACTCTGCGTGTGTTCGTGTACGTCGTTTGAAGTGACGGTCAGGCACAGAACGGAATGAGTGACGTTCAACTTCACCAGCAATCGCATATAACGAGCTCTGAACACTTAGTGACACAAGAGTGCCACCGTTCAGATGAGAATCCCTCGGGTGCAAGTCCCAGAAACCTTATTCAGCTGTTAGGTTAGGTACAACACATGTGTGTCACCCCATCTCGTTCGGCTGCGTGATTTCGTAGAGGTCCCCTATGTTCTAGGTGTGTCATGTGTTTCTTGTTTTGAACACTTTTGAACGCACATCCACCACTGATGCCAGCCATCCCCTCCTTTAGTCCCGTATTGCCTTTCAGGGTCAGGTTTTGAAGAGGCATCAGGTGTAAGCTTCGATATAAGCTGTGTACCTGACTCGGATATTGCATCTATCCATGGCTTGCGTGGTCGACCTCTGGATCTGTTTTCAATACGTATACGTGACAGGGATTTATGTGGTACACACTGTCTGGTGGTAGTCTTATAAATGGCCAAACCATTTGATCTGTTATCTCTGGCTGTAGTTTAGTACTGGTTCCGTCCCAACTTCTTTCCTGGTTACATTTAGGGTCTGTCGTTGACATTTCATTCTGTTGTTTCGATTTTGGTTTTGTCTGTTATTATTAACCCCCATGTTTGGCACTGATAACACAGTGACTGTTTTAAAAAAAAAAATCTGTACTAAATTGTGCTC